ATTTAAAGAACTTTCAGAAGTTTGATTCTGAATATGAGCGACTTTTCCTTTAATCATCTAACCTTGTTTGAGAAAAAAAAAAGTTTGATAAATTCAGGAAAATCAGAATCCAGACATTCCAAAAATGTTCCTTTATTCAGAGCTTCATCCTCAGCAGATGTTTGAGGACCATGCTCCTCTGAACTGCTCCTCCAGTGTTTAGTCAGCACCTCCTCCCCAGGAGTATAACTGGAAGCTGAACCATCAGCTGCTCTATAGATCTTCAGGTTCAGTTTATTCCTGTTTAAAGTTTCAGATGAACTCAGCACAAAACAGAAACCATGAATTTCTGGAACATTTTTTTATATTTTTACAAACTTGATGAAAAAGTCAGCACACATCTAGATAACTGCTATCTATGTCCCAAAGAGGAGGGGTCAGAGGTCAGCCTTGCTGTGACGGGCAGGCCCCAGGGCCTCGGTGGTCCGGCATACGGTGACCCTGAGGGTCCCCTCTGGGTTCAGGGTCCCACTGAGAGACAAGGGGTCCATGTCCTCTGGGAAGGAGGTTTTACGGGTGAAGGTGTTACCGACGCTCCCATCATCCAGAACCTGAAGGAGGAGAGCAGAACATCAGCAGAGGAGGAGGAGACTTATGTCCCTCATTGGACATAAGGATGACCTCAGTGCGGCCCCCGCAGCCATGGCTGATGGACAATAAGCCAGCAGCAATCAGAGTTTTTTTCTACAGGAAGTGACATACTGACCCTCTGTGCGTGGACGACCACATGGTGGCCGTAGGCCATCACCACCACGTCATGAGGCTCAAACTGGCGGAGGTCGGCCGTCATGCAGTAGGAGTCAGCGAGGCAACCCGGCCCACTTCCTGCCCCGCTGGGCCAGCTCGTTACAGCGCCACCTACAGGAGAAGCAGAGCCTCCTGAGGTTAACACAGAGCTATATAACACAGAATAAGCAGAGCTTTGCAGATAACGACTGTTAGATCTGTGAATAGAACTTTTACACAGATAGCATTTGCATTAGCGTGTTTTATAAATATATTTTAGCAGGTTTTATAACAGAGCAAATCTTTCAGGAAGAAAACAAAACTTTGGTCAATATTTATATCAACTTTAGCAACGTCCTTTAGAACTGGTTTAATTTCTACTAAAAACTGTTCAAACACAAAATCAACAGAAGGTTTTTACTTCAATCAGAATCATTGACACAACGACCCAAAGTAATCCCCTAAACCCATCGGTTTAGTCTGAGCCTAACTCTCCAATAAGCCATTAGGAAACCAGGGTCCGTTTCACGAAGCAGGTTTAACAAACTCAGGTTTAAATCCTGAGCTCTAAATTGATCTAGCCTAAAGTCAGGAACTCTGAGGGTTCGGTTTCATATAAGCTGCTATCAAGTAGCTCAATCAACTCTGACCAGGTCCACTCAGAGTTTAACACGTACGTAACAAGTTTGAAAAGCCATTATCATTATCAATGCCACGAGTCGCCATGACAACAGACAACAGGAAGTGCCCGTTTCACCCCACTGGAAGTAGAGATTTAATGCAGAAATGAAAATAAAACAGAGAATGTGTTTAAAAGACAGAGAAACAGCTGCAAAGGAGAGGAAGAAGAAGATTGTTGCTCGAGTTAACGAGTTTATATGAAGTGGGCTATGGCAGGCCGTTTTTACATTTATTCAAAGCACTCTCTTCTCTGTTGTTCCATCTGCAGATCACTAAAATAAGATTCTTGCTGATCAAAGTCACACTCCTATAAACAACTATAATAATATATTTAATAAATAACATTTTTGTTGCACAAACTGAAATTTAGAAAGTAAAAAAAAGAAAAACTACACCAGTAAGAATGAAGTTTTATATATCTAGAAATGTTTCCGCATGTTAAGTGGCCGTTCTGACATTTATCAGCTGGACTGAAAATCTATTTATGAAATCTGAAAAACATTTTTTCATAATTAAAATAATACAAATGCTGACCAGTAATATTAGGAATATGCAGATCTGAAATTAATTTCTAGAAATCCAGAATGTTTATTCTAGATGTGGAGAATGTCATTTTGTTTGAAATCATACAGCAGTAGCCATTCAAAATGTCCCCACTGGTCCTTGGCTGGTCCTTGGCCGGTCCTTGACTGGTCCTTGGCTGGTCCTTGGCCGGTCCTTGACTGGTCCTTGGCTGGTCCTTGGCCGGTCCTTGACTGGTCCTTGGATGGTCCTTGGCTGGTCCTTGGATGGCCCTTGACTGGTCCTTGGATGGTCCTTGGATGGTCCCCTATAATTCCTTTTTAAACATCAATCTTTGTACTAAAATATTCTTCCTGTCATGATTTGTGGACATTAAGATCTAAAGAGAAGCGCCATCTGCTGGTCAGACGCTGTAATTCAGTGAAGGGGTGGAGTCAGAGTGAAACAATAGCAGAAGGCCAGTGGCTGGAAGTTGGAGGGAAGTGAGCCGCCATTCGGCTGGTCCTTGACTGGGAAGGGTGGTTTTTAATGGCCACTACTGTATCAGTAAAACTAATAGCCTGATGTTTCTAATATTACGGGGTTTTTTCTTGAACAGTGGTGGATAAATGTTTGTATTTAGGTGAAATCATCTGGCAGCAGGTGAAAATGTTCCGATCTATAGGACCTGTTCATCGTCTCATGGGTTCCTCCTCAGTTTGGTTCTTATTCTCCACAGTAAATCAGTGTCTGTTTGCAGCTGTTCCAGATGTTTTCATCCCAATAAATGATCGTTATTAGCGGCTATCAGTCCCATAGAACGGCTTCAGATTTTACCACTAGGCCCAGTAGGCTGTTATCATCCAGTGAATCCTAACCCTAAAGTCATTCCCTGTGGAATCAATTAATCTATTTATGTCTAATCTGAAAATTATTTTATTAGTTCTTCATATACTCTAAAAATAAATAAATAAAACGAGCCACATGTTGCTCATATTAAACAAATCAAAGATAAATCTCCCCTCCGGTCACTGAGTTGTTGAATCATCTCCCTATAAATATTTCATTCTCTGTGAATTAATCCAGATGAATCTTTAATTAAATCCTCGTCAAATGGACATGCAATGTTTGTTTTTAAACCTAATGTGTCTAACTGACCTAGTGAATGATTTTTTATTTTTTTATGAACAAAATGATGACATAAATCTGACTAAATCAGGAAATAAAGCAGCGTGATTGGCTGTAAGGAGAGCGGAGACAGACTGCTGCTGACCAGGCTAGCTATGGGAGGATGTTACTATGGCAACAGAAACAGAGGATGCGGAACGTCTCTTTGTGAAACCTCTGAGTTTCCCTGATTTCAGGTTTAGAAAACTCAGTTTTCTGTAAAACTGCTTAATTAAACCTGGAGAAGCTCTAAAACTGATGAATCGGCTTCTCCTCTATGTTCTCTAAAGGACTAAACCAGCAGATTGTTTCCTCACCTGGAGGTCCAGAGGACGGCCTGCTGAGTGTGCTGAAGTGGGGCAGACTGTCGGGCCCCCCGGGGCCCCCCTCTCCAAACAGACCAGAGCATTTGGCAGAGTCGATAAAAGGCTCAAAAAGAGAATGGGAGGATCCGTCCTGGGATCCATCGGATCGATAGGAGCTGGAGGCGCTATAACGTGATGAGGAGCGATACGATGAAGAAGATCTCTGACTGGAAGTCATCAGCGATGCCATGAGGTCCACCTCTGTCCTCTGACGGAGCTCAGATCAGCCTCCTATTAACCCTACAGCGGCTTAAATAAAGCCTGCTGCATTCTGGGACACGGCGCCGGCTTTACCCTTAGATGGTTGTTTGTTTAAGCACTTCAACCAAGAGAGTAACGGACGAAACGATAAGGAGCTCCGGCCGCTTGCTGCTGTCACACACAGAGATAAGAGAACAGCGTTTGTGGCATGCAGGCAGAAATAGAAAGCAGAGGTCAGGTCCTCCATCCTGCAGACCTGCACTGATCCAGACATGGCTGGATCAGGGGGGTGGGGGGTCTACCTACCTCTTCTCTCTGTTCTCAGTTTGTTGGTGGAAATCTTTCCCATCAGGTCTGAATCTAGCCTCCATTTCCAGACTGACAGCAATCCTCCAAAAAAATCCAACCTAAATAATAACCTGAAAGAACAGTCTGAAACTGAGCTGCTGACTGACCTTCAGTCCGGTCTGCTGGGACCCTCCCTGTCTGGGTTCTGGTTTGGACCCGGCCCAGCCTCTGCCTGACCTGGGTTTAAAGTGAGGCTGTTCTTTGATCTGCAGTGATTTTAACCAATAAAGTCTTATTTCCATCCCATCACTAAAGGTGCTAATCTCCAGCGGTTATTAGCATAGAGGCGGCTGCTCCCTCAATACAGACCACCATGAACACAGACCACCATGAACACAGACCACCATGGACACAGACCACCATGAACACAGACCACCATGAACACAGACCACCATCAACACAGACCACCATGGACACAGACCACCATGAACACAGACCACCATGAACACAGACCACCATGAAGACAGACCACCATCAACACAGACCACCATCAACACAGACCACCATCAACACAGACCACCATGAACACAGACCACCATCAACACAGACCACCATCAACACAGACCACCATGAACTGTGTGACCATGGTCAGATTCTGGTGGTTCTGGTGGTGCTGCTGCTGCTGGTGGTGGTGCTGCTGCTGCTGGTGGTGGTGATGGTGGTGGTGGTGGTGCTGTTGGTGATGGTGCTGGTGATGGTGGTGCTGCTAGTGCTGGTGATGGTGGTGCTGTTGGTGCTGCTGGTGATGGTAGTGCTGCTGCTGCTGGTGCTGCTGCTGCTGGTGATGGTGCTGCTGGTGATGGTGGTGCTGCTGGTGATGGTGCTGGTGGTGTCGGTTTGGGGCCAGTTTGCTGCATCAGGATCTGGATGGAGAAAATCTCTCCAACAGAAAATCGTGAAGCAGAATCTGCAGCATCAGTGAATGAGCTGTTAGAGCGGCCTAGTCAAAGTATGGAGCTACCCATAAAGGAGCAGAGTTCCCTGTTCTCCTCGCAGCGTTTAGGGTCAGAGGTCAACAGGCTGGATCAGATGGTTCCTCTATTCAATAAATTAAATTAACACTTTAAAAATATCTTTATTTATTAACCTCTGGTGGTAAAAGGATTCTGATGATCTGCAACGTTTACATGTAGAAAAACCAACGAAATCAGCAAGAAAACTTCTACCTCTGCAGTTCTATAGATCTGAGTACAGGAGCTTCAGCCGTTTGCTCTGACGTCTGCGTTCATGTTAAACATTCATTGATCAGATCTGAAGCCTTTTCACCCAGAAACCCTGAACCAGTTCCAGACGCTCCTCCCATTTCCTGGATTTCCATATTTAGCTGAGATTCAGGTGAAATCAGGAAAATGTTGTAGAGCGAATTATTTCTAAATAAAACAGCAAACAAACAAAGAAGTTTTATTTCTGTTTCCTTTCTCAGCATTTTAGACCAAAAGAAGCTGCAGATGTTTCTGTGAAAAGGTTTAAAAATCAGTAAAAGTTGGAGCCTTTAAGACATCAACTCTTAAAATAAGCAAAAACTTTAACATTCAAACAGTTTTTATATGAATCTTGTTAGAAAACGGATCATTTTCTGTAAACCTTCCTGGGATTTACTCGGCGTTCCCGGGAAGGATGGGATCGGATGGCGTCCAGCAGAGCTCCAATCATCTCTGATGGCGTCCAGCTTTCATCAGTAAAGACATGAGGAGCAGATTCTGAGAACATTAGCAATATTTTATTTATTTTAATATCAGATGCATCAAACAAATATTTTCATTTTCAATCCAAGATAACAATAATTAAATAATTACATTCAGCCAAGAAGGAGAGAAACTGAGATCTGGACAGGAAGCAGGAAGTGGGAGGGGCTGCCGCGATGATGAAATTAAGCCCCGCCCACTCGCTGTGTGTGTGGTAATGGATTAGTGACCTGTGAGGACCGACTGATGACCCCTCCCTGTTCCTCGGCCATTTAGCTGTGGGTTTAGGATGGAGCCTGTTGGTTTCTACCTGGGGGGTGTATGGGGGGGTCTACATGGGGGGTGTATGGGGGGGGGTTATGGCTTTGGCCCTCTTGCTGTTCTGCTCTGAGGGCCTTCCTCCTTCAGATTGGAACTGATTGGGGTCAGAAACAGGTTCTACTCGGCTTCTGACCCAATCAGCCAATGGGGGGGGGGGTCGGCCCCCAGGCTTTGTTTAGAAATGCTAAGTAGGTTATAGGGCCTCAGGGGCCCCCATGTGAGCATCTCTGCTGCCTCCACGCTGACCAACACATGTTTGGATGTCTTTTTATAGAAGCTGTTCCCTCAGACCCACTGAATGTGGAGCAGATAACGATCCCACCGAGGAGAAGCACGGCGTGGAGAGGGAGGCGTCTCTGAGCGAGGACACCCGGCGTCTCTGAGCGAGGACACCCGGCGTCTCTGAGCGAGGACACCCGGCGTCTCTGAGCGAGGACACCCGGCGTCTCTGAGCGAGGACACCCGGCGTCTCTGAGAGAGGACACCCGGCGTCTCTGAGCGAGGACACCCGGCGTCTCATCGCTTTCAAACAGAGAGCAGCGCTTCTGGGGCAGCGGAGCTTAAAAGCTGCCATTTGGAGGAGAGGAGGGTTTGAGGAGAGAGAGGAGAGGAGAGAGCAGATGGACTGAAGGAGAAAAAGGAGAAAAGAGGAGAGATTCGCTTCTCCTGATGTTCAGTCGCTTCTCTAATCGCAGGATAATTGCCTTTCGGCAAAGGTGGCACTTAAATGTCCTGATAATGACGTAATAAGCCCCCCGTGGGGACGGATGGAGAGACTGAGGGACAGAAAAAGACTGTAGGCGGCAGAATGAAGACAAAGGACAGAGACAGAGAGGAGAGGCGGTGGGAGAGGGAACGCATTCATCAGGCTGTATCAGCGGCTCATCGGCTTCACCCCAGAGAGGACAAACGGTGTCAGACGACAGCGCCGAGCTCCTCGGACGTCTGAGCGATGATGCAGACCGGAGGGACAAAGATGGAGACGTTTGACAGACGTGCAGAGTAAAGGACAGCTGATAGAGACGCTAACGGGGACGAACAATGGCCCGCTGGCGTCACTACGCTCCGATGACCTCACCTCGCCGCCATCACACGGCCTGCAGTGTCAAACAAACCTGATGAAGGAGCAGCATCAGGGTTTCCTGTCCAACCGCTGCCCTTTGCTGTGTCTGATGATGATGATGATGATGATGTGTGGGAGAGGTCAAAGGTGATGTATGAAGGCACAGCTTCAATGGTTCCCCCTGAGATGTTGCAGTCTCACCAGGCGCCTCTATGAAAGGCAGCGGCTCGCCGGCCTGAGAGACGCTTAAAGGGAATTTCTGCGTCGGAGGATTTTGGAATGAATTTACGGTTCCAGCTTGGAGCGCCGGATGACATCACGGCGAACAATCTGATGCACAACTTCACAAAAAACGTCAAACACAAACACATGCTGAGGGAACCAGTCTGCTCTGGTCCAAAGAGAAGGGGGGGGGGTTCACATGATGAGCAGGTTACCATGGCAATGACGCAAAGATTCTGAAGCAGACTGAGACGTTTCAGTCGAGGTGAAGCGTAGATTTAACGCCGCCTAACGTCGAAATCTGGTTCCAGTTCATTCCTGATGTTGAAGCTGAGTCTTTGCCCCGTGGGTTCATATTATGGGATACATATCCCAGTTACATCTCCCAGTTACACATCCCAGTTACATATCCCAGTTACATATCCCAGTTACATATCCCAGTTACATATCCCAGTTACATATCCCAGTCACATATCCCAATTACACATCCCAATTACATCTCCCAGTTACATCTCCCAGTTACATCTCCCAGTCTGCCCATGTTAGAATACGCAGTAGAACTGAAACGTCAACAAAAATTAATTGTTTCTGTTTCAAACTAAAACTGAGCGTCTGATCCTTCAGCTGCTAGCGGGCTAGCTAACCACCGCTCTGTGTCTCTAATGGCTAAAGGAGGAGGAATCCTAGCAGCCTCCAAACCACGGCTGATTCTATGGAACCGGCTCTGGAATTCCATGGAGCGGACTCTGGAATTCCATGGAACCGGTTCTGGAATTCCATGGAACGGGCTTTGGAATTCTATGGAACCGACTCTGGAATTCCATGGAACCGGCTCTGGAATTCCATGGAGCGGACTCTGGAATTCCATGGAACCGGTTCTGGAATTCCATGGAACGGGCTTTGGAATTCCATGGAACCGACTCTGGAATTCCATGGAACCAGTTCTGGAATTCAATGGAACCTGCTCTGGAATTCCATGGAATGGGCTCTGGAATTCGATGGAATGGGCTCTGGAATTCCATGGAACCGGCTCTGCAGCGCATTCATCCACAGCTTTTCCTGAGTTTGTGAAACACCTTTTGAGAACTTCAACATGGAGATGGAGGCTCTGAATGCGACACATTAAAACGCCTTTCTGCAGGCGCCGGGGGGGGGGGGCATGACAGAAAATGATTGTTTCACAGTTTCCTCTAAAAAACCAGTTCACATTTGGATTGTTTTTTCCCAGTAGACTATATCACACAGTGATAACGAAGAACAGGAGAATCTACAGCCACATTAGCGTCGTGCAAAAAAACACATTCACCGGCAGCCGCATAGGCAAAGATCAAAGCAAGACGATGCATACAAAAATATAGAAAAATCTTCAGTCTGTTTCTGTGGCTCGCTGCTGAACGCTGACGGCAAATCTTCGTTGTCTTCCAGGTTCCTGCCGAGAGGAGGAAACGGGAGGAAACGGGAGGAAACGGGAGGAAACAGGAGGAAACGGGAGGAAACGGCAGGAAACGGCAGGAAACAGGAGGAAACGGGAGGAAACAGTCCACCATGAAGAACGGAACCCAGGAGATTGACAGCAATGGGAACCAACTGTTGCTTTGTTTAGACTCGCAGAGAATGAAAGGGTTAAATAGTTTGGCATATTCTGCAAGCAATGCCCAGAAGGATGCAGGGGGGGTGCCAGGACCCGGGGGGGTCAGGAAACGTGCTTCAGTCCAGGTCAGCTCATGCAGGTCAGATGTTTGGACCTTCTGCTGCTCCGTCCGCTCAGCGAACACCTGAACCATGGAGAGGAGGGCGGGACGCTGCCGCCATAAGGCAAAGGTCACTGGGGGGCAAACTCCTCCCACCATGATGAAGAGGGGAGCAGCTGCTGGCCCCGCCCACATGCTTAGGTCACTTATGGGTTTTTGGGAGCTCCTGCTCTCTCCACCTCTTCCTCCTCTTCCTCCTCTTCGTCCAGGGAAACGACCCCTGAGGAGGCCACATCAGACACCCTCCTGCGGGGGTCATAGCCTGGGGGGTACTGCCCCCCCCGGCCTTCTGCCTCCTCAGGGCACAGGCTGCCTTCGTAGTCCTTGCAGGGGCTGTCATCATCCTCGCCGGGCGACAGGTAGGTTTCAGAATAAGACATGGAGTAGCAAGGGGAGTCCTGACCTCCATAGGACCTGCTCCCCCGGCCCCCCCCGCCATGCCCCGCCCTCTGGAGGCGGGCCAGCAGCTCCTCCCCTCCATGCAGCGCAGACAGGATCTTGGCAGCGAGCTCAGCGGCGTTGTTCTTTGCGTTTTTGCTGCGCTGTCTCCCCAGGTCTCGCAGCAGCGGGTGCTGCTCATCCAGGCTGCAGAGGCTGGAGCACAGCGTGTCCGGAGAGCCGGCCGTGGGGGAGGGCTCCCTGCTGCCCCCTCCCTCTCCGATCTCTGCTGCGCTGTCAGAGCAGGGCCTCCGCAGGCCCAGCTGCTGGCACAGCTGGCTGTGGATCAGCTCCTTCAGGTACGGCGGGTAAGCTGACAGCTCTGCAGAGAAAAGCAGGATCCATGGTTAGAGCCGCTCCTGTCAGGCTTCACTCTGTCTGCAGACTCACTGCAACATTTCATGGAGATGAAAAACAAAAGAGTAATAAAAATGATCTAATCGATTTCATTATGAAGCAGCTGGAAACTAAGACAGAGATTCTAGATCCTCATTTATCATCATTAGTCTGCAAGATGCGGCGAGTAGAAGGCTGCTGTAACTCGTTTGCTGCAGGACTGCATGAGTGTAATAAAGATGAAAGCTGAGGAGCCGGGTGCCTTTCTAACCCACTAACACACAATGCTGACACAGATGCAGCCTCTGCAGCAAAGGAAGTGATATTCGACCTGCAGCAGAGCATCGAACCGCACAGACAGGAACATGGAAACTGGGGCAGTGGGACAAAGAGAGGGAGGCGGGATGGGGGGGTACCTGTGCTCTGCGTGGCGGGCTCGCTGGCAGGGAGGAAGTCTTCATCATATGAGTCATCGTTGGACTCGTCGCCGTCCACCGAGGACCAGGCCCTCAGCTTTGCCTCGGCGATGGCAAACTGCTCCGCCACACCTGCACACACCCGATGCACACATGAGCTGGTGTCAATCACAGGGTTGGCATGGTAACAAGGAGGCTGCATTGTGACTGGGCGTCAGTGCAGCTCCAGGTTAGAGCAGCAGCCTTCTGTTGTAGTGAACAGGTTAGTGAACACAACATCATTCCTGAGAAAGTAAAAAGCTGCTGGATGGATCAGTGAGACTCGGCGTTTCCTCTCATCTACCAAAGACATGAAATGTTTCACTGTGGGGATCAAAGCTGAGGGAACCGGCATTCATTTGATACTTTAATGCACAAAATCCTGTTTTTGCATCTAAAAGCGTCTCTCTGGCGCCCTCCCCAGGTTAAACAGGGCTAACTGCTGATGATGGCTGATTTAGGAGAACTGAGGTCACCCGCCGGATTGTCTCCCTTTGCCGTCTTTAGCTGCTTCCTCTGTGTCGGTTCCAGCGTCCCAGCGCCTTCCTCTGTGCGGCCATGATGCCAATAACCTGATTGGAGAACAGAGCGGCAGCAGGAAGCTGGGGGCGGGGTTTCCCTGAGCAGACCATCGGGCTGGACGCTCTTTCATTTATGTCTGAGGATTTATCCTGGATTTTTATTTGAACCTGTAGAATTGTGGTATAATTGAGGTAAACAGAAGTAAAACCTGCTGTTATCTTTTATATGCTTTCTCTTTATCATTAAACAAAGCAAAATAATAGATTAAAGTGACGTAAATAAATCTATTGTATTTATATGAGCAGTGGAACTAGAAGAGGAAGTGACACTGAGCGTTTAAAATATGAATTTATAAAAGCTGTAGATCTGGGCTTTAGTTCCTCTGTTTATCCCATTTCATGTATTTTATCTAAGGCCCAAACTATTTAAAGTATTCATCAGATTAATCAATTATTGAAATAATCAATTAATTTAGTAATTGTTTCATCGTTAACTGAAGTATAGAGACTCTAAAACAGGCTGTTAGCTGACAGAGGAACCCACTTAGAGCAGTTTTTTAAACTTTTACGGAATGACCTGGATGACGTAGAATCTTCATCAGCATAAACTGTTTAATCCTTTACAATTAAATATTGTTTAATTCTAAAAATACTTCCTGACTGTAGTTCTTTATAGAACTACAATCAGCAGCTTCCACCTGTTTCAGCGTAGCATGTTTAATTGGGACTAGTTTCGTATCCTAATATCAACTCAGATTCTTGGTAGGGACACGTGGCTATGATGCCCCCCCCCCCCCCCCCCCCCCGACCAACAGGCAGCGGCTGTGCGTACGCCGTCGTCCTGCGCTGCCTTTCATCACTGCTGGACGTCCCGGTTTGGAATGGTTGAAGCAGCAGCGGGACAACATGGATCATTTGATAAGTTAAAGGAAAGGGTTTATTGGATGCATGAACACATTCTATTCAATTCCACTTTTTTCTAAAGCGCCAATTCACAACCTATAACGTAGATATAAACCCTGCAGATCAGATCTGAGCTGAACTGAAGGGAGGGGGGCATAAAACAGGATCCCTGATTCAGTAAAAGGGGTCAAAGAGCAGAAATGTTATTGACCAACAATTAATCTGACTTCTGTTGTTCAAGCAAAAGACTTTTAAACAATTAACTGTCAGCAGGGGTGCAAATAATTAATGTGTGAACAGATGAATGCAGAACAGGAAACATCCAATCAGAGAGCAGAACAGAGGGAGCAGAGCTAGAGGAAGCAGATCAGAGAAAACTGCTCCGTCATGAAGGCAGCAGCCAGCGGCAAAAGCTGACTGTGCAAATTAACCTTGAGAGTCTGCAATGCAGCGAGCGACCCATGGATGGACAGACGGAAAAACAGACGTTAGAGTGTTAGAGAGGACAAAGAGGAGTGTTAAAGAGGGGCAGAGCGGGTGGAGGAGCTAAGAGAGGAGATAATGAACAGGGAGAAAGAGGGGGGGGGCTGATCTGGTTACCCTGCTGTGTTTAACAAAGACAGGAGCTATAGATCTAGAGCAGGTGAAGTAGATTAGCGCTGACCCATCCTTTCAGGTAATTGTTCAAATAAAAACAAGGAAAAGACTTGGATTAGGGGCGGAGCAACAACTCCATCTAATAAACAGATCTTACCAGCAGCAAAGCGGGCCTCCTGCTCTCCCTCACTGAGATCAGAGTACGAGTTAAAGTCCGACTCCAGGGCTGCCGGCGTGTCCATAGGCTTGCACCAACCTTTCCACTCTATCAGGTGGGCTACTCTTCCCTGCGCCATGGCGGTAGGCTTGGTCACATGGTCCTTGACAACCTGTGAAATCCCTGCAGGTCACATAAGAGCAAAGATGTTAAAGCTGGATCAGTTTGGATGCAGATTCAGATGCAGCTTTGTTCTGAGAAGAAGCAATTACCGTGCAGAGAGGATCGCGCTAAAGCAGCAATCTCTTGAATGGTTAGAGCTCTCCTTGATTTTGGAAGCATTTCAGTGATGTCATCAGCATTCACCTGAAAACAGAAGGAAAAATGGGTGAGCCTCCAACTCAACAGGAATGTGAGGCACATCTGGATCCAGATGTGGCTGGTTCCAGATGTGCCTCACATTCCTGTTGAGTTGGAGGCTCACCCATTTTTCCTTCTGTTTTCAGGTGAATGCTGATGACATCACTGAAATGCTTCCAAAATCAAGGAGAGCTCTAACCATTCAAGAGATTGCTGCTTTAGCGCGATCCTCTCTGCACG